AATTTACAACAACGGTAATTTCAAAATGTCTTATTTTTGTTACATGTGATAAATATAATATATTTCATTATTTATACCGTTTAGTACTTATCAAACATGTTATATGTTTTATAGCAGTCAAAAGTTATTTTGATAATAGAGTATATAGGCTTTAAATTATTTAAATTTAATCGAAATATAGGTTGGTTGTAATTATATTTTAAAAAAGTAATGAATTATGTATTTATGGCACATAACGTTGAAAATTATGTTAATGTTTTATTACCTTAAGATTGTATCAGATACTTGTAAAATACAATAAACAAAATAAAGTTTAATATAGATAATATGGAGCCTGGGTGTATAAGTTAAATTTATAATTTTACCACCTATTTGTAGTCAATTTGTGAAGTGTCGGTACATAATTTAAACTTTAATTTAAAACCAAATCAAATTTAAAATAATTTTTTTGACAGTTAATATTACTTATCACGATAAAATATTATAATATTTTTGCACTTTTATATTTTAAGTTAATGTTATACTTATAAAGACACCTACACCTAAAAACCTATAATCGATCTTATTTATAATTGATTAAAATTATGTATTGGTACTTTTATATTACCTACTTTGTTGATGATAGTTCTATTTATCAATTTTTATAATAATTTTATTGCAAAATACCGATATTTGGATTTAAAAATACTTTTTTTATGATAAAACAAAAAACAATTTTCTTTTTTTTAAACATAATTATCATTCGTAGTTCTAATGTATCTCTAAATAGAGTAGTATTTCTTTATAATGGTCATATCAATGTCCGCTTTATGTACCTGTAGTGTTATGTACCCATTATTATAAATGACAACCAAATAAATTTTCAAAAGATTTCTATAAGATTTAGTAAAATTAAAATAATGAAATATTACATTGTATTACAGTTATTATAAACGTATATTTATGAAAATAATATTCGTAGTTCTTATTTGTTTTATATTCTCCCGTAATTTATGATGAGCAATGTTCGGATTTTATTATCCGGTATAAACTACAGTGTTATTATGGAATTTAATATTGTTTGTTAGTTGCTTATGTAGAATGTTATGCATATTCATGTTATTGATATATTATTTACGAATAAGAATACTATAAACATTTTATGAACTGATATAATTAACTTAAATTACTAATATTATTTAAAAATTTTGAAATAAATTGAATTATTTAAAAAAAAAAAACATGTAAAACACTGTATACGTTCATAATATTTTTAGTTCAACACAATATGAATTACAATAATTTATACCGTAGAATTATGGTATAATTAAGTATTTAAAATTTTCAATTATAGCTAAGTATGAATCACCAATATCTGTGTGCTTAGCATACCTAGTCACATTATATAACAAAATAAAATAACGAAATGTTTCTGGCCAGTATGTGACATGAAAAAACTTAATATTCTAAACTCGCATCAAACACCAGCATGTATAAAAAAATTAGACCAAATAAAAAAAAAAAAAACAAAAACAAAAAACATATTATACTTAAAATATTATAATCCGTAACGATTTCAATTAAAAATTGTAAATAGTTATGTTATTTTTCCATGTTTGGAACTACACGGGAGGGTCAAATTTGCTGCCAACTTGAACTATTAGAACAATACCTATCATTTTTTTTTTTATTAAAAAAGAAAATAATCATAAAAACATTTAGACAAAGTTTATATGGAATCACAAAAATCCAATTATTTAAAAATGTTAAAACGATTACGTCGTATTAATAACCCAACAGATAATGGCATATATTTTATCTAACATAACAATTCAATGATTGTGGACAATGTCTTGCAAGTTATTTTGGCTACAACTCGTTTGCGCATATTTAACTTTGTTACAACTCATTTGCGCATAAAAAACACACTGGATTGCGCACAAATATTTTGACTACCAGTGACTAAAATCCTACTATCATAAACTTTTTGCCCACACATTTTCCTTCGCACCTTAACAGGCTTAGGATAATGCTGATAATGTTTTTTCTGGATTCATACATTGATCTTCGTAAAATTTTTGCATAATTGTGTCCTAAGTTTATTGTAAAATTATCTTATATTACTCTTCATGATAATCAGTGTCGGTTACTTTTATAATTTTGTTTAATTTACTAACAATAACACTCGCAAGACATTATTTATTAGTACATCTAAAATTTGAATATCTATACTCATTAAGATATGATATTTACTTGAATTTATAATTACCGATATTATACTGAATCATAACTATTGAAACTGTACTAAAAGTAGTTCGTTGGGTTTGAAAATTTGAAAATGATATAATCCGCACTATCGGTTATAACTTATAAGATAATATTGCTATTAAATATTTGATAGATTGTATTGTAGTCTGTAACGATACACCTATATATGTGTGTGAGTATGTCATTGTGCGCAAACAATTGATCGATTTTCAGGTAAACGACTGAATTCGTTGAGCGCAAGCGAGTTGTCGATTTTCAGGTAAAAAATTTTGAATTTGCGCAAACGAGTTGCAGCGGTTAGATATTTTATGTTGTTGATTGAGTTTTTTTAAGAAAAAAAGTATTATTTTTGTATAAAATGTGTATAATATATGGTGAAAGAATAATTTTGTTTTGTAAATATTCACTAATCAACGAGTTTAAATTTTTGAGAAGTTTCACAGTAGTTTTCAATGTATATTCTAGTTTCTTTAGCATAAAAAACTATCAAGTTTTTGTATTGCTATTTTTACAAACTGATATTAATATATTTTAACGTTTTTAATTATTTAAATTTCCTACTTGACTATACAATCATAATAACCTGAATTATTATTCATGTGAACATATTAATTATTGTATCCTTATTTTATTATCAGGTACTTCAAATTTTACCAAATTTGTATATTATTGTGTATTTCGAAATCTAATATATTTATTTAGGATGCATTTGTCCATGTTATATTTATGAAATTTATACTAGTGTATATAACTTTTATGATTAGTTAGGGGTTATCTTAGATCCTTCTATCCTTTGATAGCCTATAATTTATTAAAAACATTTTTATGTTGTGATTCGTTACCTCGGGGAGAAATATAGACGTGCTTATATAGCTGTTGAAAAAGAAGCCATGTATGTATAACGACCCCTGCACGTTTTAATTAATCCCAGTAATTTAATAAATTTGAAAATTTGAAAATTTGAAAAAAAACTTATCATTAAATAAAAAACACTGTCTCGTAAAGTATATACACCCCTATATTATACATTTGTCGACAATATATTATGGTGCTATATTAGCCGTAGTTATCGAAACTATAAAGTTTCGTATAAATTAATATATGCATGCACAGTGGTCAAAGCGGAATACCAACTCACTAGTGTTTTAGTTTATATTTTTATTCCTGCAGTCTTTTTTTTTTTTAAATAATGCATCCGTTGCCAAACATTTTTTTATTTTTCCTCAATTTTTGACAGTAAAAATTAATTTTATACGAGTACTTTCTGTTTTTAAAATAATTATTTAATAAAATTTAATCTAGCAATACSATTAGCTATATATATTATATTTATACCATTGTAGTTTGTAAATATTAATTTCTAATGATTCCTCAGAAAATATTAAAAAATGATATTTTTAAACCTTGTTGTATAAATGTTAATAATTCAGAAACTATTCATGCAAATTTCGAATCAACTTACCAAAAAACTAATTAATTTCTTAATACAAGTATTAGTCAGCATTAAAAAGACATATCTCATTTCATAAAATGAGTTATTGTACCTACCATAAATTCAAAAATATAGTGGACAATTAATATTATTGGAAATTTCAATAAATGTGTATAAAATATGTTTGATGGATACTGGCTTATACAAATCTTAATATCCTCAACCGGTTTCGAACACGGCAATAATGATATACCTAGTTGTATACTCGATTAAACTATTATTAATAATATTATTGTGCTTACCCTGGACGGTGTAGCAGCGGTGGCGGGAAATCGTTGTCGTCGATGGCTGTGGCGGTGGCGGTGACGGCAACGTCTTTTGAGCGATCTTCATCGGTATTAAAGGCGTCGGAGTGTGTTCGTCCCGACTGTTCGTGGCGTTCGAATGCCGCGCGCGTTTATCCGCCGTCGCACGCGCTCGGCGAGTCCGGCGATACCTGTGGCGACGGCGGCGGTGGTTTTTGCCAATTGGTTGCGGCGTCGGCGGCGATGATGGGCGGGTGCGCGCGGAGGGGGAGGGATCGGTCCGCGCGCGCGTTTCAAGCTCGCGGGGCGTGCGCCGCCCCCGTCGCGTTCAGTCAGTGTACGCGTACCACCGGCGCTCGTACACGACCACGTCCGTCGTCCGTCCGATCGACCGACCGATCGCATCGTTATCGTTTTTCACTCATCTACCGTTATCAATACAATATTAAGAGTATAAATTAATTTTTTTTTTTGTTCACCGTTATCGTGTGTAGGCAGTGAGTGATGCGATTTCATTTTACTGCCGCTGTCAAAATGCGTGTCCGAATCGAGTGTTATTACTCGGTCGTTATATCGTTTGACACAAGTCGCGCATCATTATAATAATTTTAAAAGTTTATTATTGTATATATATATATTCGTACATTATTATTGTTTTCATTTTGTGTTTCCGTGTACGATATTTTCACGTACAGGATTTGAGTGTGTACGCGTTATTTTTAGGACGAACCGAACCAACAGAAATCGGATATCCAATATGATATCGGTCATTTGCAACCTAACCCGGCCTAGCCTAATTTGAACAACCCCCTTAACTAACCTGAACACTACACCAGATAAACCTTAATTAGCGCAGTATGAATTTAGATTTAAGTATCCCATCATAATATTTAATCGTGTTTCGGATCGAATGTGAAACGAATTTTGTTATTTGTATGGTTTGCTCTCTCCGTCAACAAGAGTGGGTCCAAATGTGACATTCGGACACAATATGTCTTAACCATTGTATTTTACAGGCTGACGATGTGCTCGAGCAGCTCTTGGCAAGCACTGGTCACCACAGTGTTGGCCTGTTCAGCAGTCTGCGCGTTCGCTTCTGGTACGTACCTATATGGCTATACATTATATTATACATTTACATCCCCTCCATACATACGTTTCTGTTACTAGATGATCAGAGTGACAATAGCAAAAACAACATTAACAGTTTTATCTTTTAAAACAAACAGTGATTATGTATATTATTATATTATGAACGTGAGCGTGTGCTTGTGCAGGTACGGTTCTCCTCTTTTCATTATCAAGGCGTAGGTTGTTTAATTTTTAATTGTAAGAAGGAAATTGCTGTAATTATTTTTTATTTTCACCCAATCAGGTGCACTTGTTCACAACAAATAAAGTTACAGTAGGAAGTGTTAGCATACAATTTAATTCTCGGAGTCCGTCGCCAGTCGTAATAGTTTCTACTCGTTTCTCAGTCTATGTAGGGATTGCCGCGAAATTCTAAAAACGTCGCTTGTTTCACTACTTTATCCGAGGAGCGTTGTAAAGTTTTCAAAATATCCCCGGGCCTTGGGTTATAACTTTTAATGAATGACCGCATGTCACCGACCCCTCAAAAACAATAAAGACGTAATTAAAACCGTTCGGTCTCATGGCCCCTATACTATTTTTTTTTATCTTTGAATGTATACATTTCAAGAACAATAATTCTAGTCAATCATCCTTTTTCAATATTTTGGTAATTACTACTTTGTTGTTTTCCATATATAGCATATACTATTCAGTATGTTGTAGGTATACATATGCTATTATGACATTATGTGGCGAACAAATATTAAAAATATTTTCTTTCATTGTAAACACAATGGTTTTAGGTATTAATTAAAGAAATTTTAACATAATTCGTTAGGTGATAATTATCAATCCTACTAACTTTTGAGCTACAAATGAAGTTTTGAATAACTTTATTAGCTATACTATAATTTTACTGAAACATTTTAACTTGATAATTATGTTTATCAAATGAAAAACAATCGTTCTCATTTTATGTCATGTATTTTATTAAAACACAAACAATATCAGTACCTTTACCCATATTAATTTAGATATTTAAGTTAGCAACCTATTCTAAGTTTAGTATAATAAGTTTAAATGCATATTTCATTCACACGTTTGAATGTGTTGAAGAATAGATTAAGCATATTACGTGTAAAGGTAGACATTTTTTTTTTACTTATACTTTTTGTAGTTTTTAATCGGTTATATTATTTATAAGTGTAATTCATTGAGTAATATTTCAACTAAAGTGGTTATTATGCACTAAGTATGTAATTTAATAGGATATTAATTAAATGCTATATTTGCAATATATAGCTCGGCGTATGTTGCATTGAAATGCTAATAGTCCTCTACCTATAATTTAATTTTAATTTAATAATTGTAAAACGTTATAATAATTATATAACCTCTATAACATGTTTTTACTTTTGAAAATATAATTATATACTCTTTGATATAAAAGGAAAATCTTAGAAAATATTTGATTAATATTCATTTAAGTCTCAGTACTTGATACGGAAGTATTATGCTTACAAATTCGAATTGATATTTAACAAAAGTTCACTTATATAGTTATATGAAAATCAAAGTTACCTATATATTTTAAATTTTCAAATTTTTCTATTCAAAACAATAATTTAATATTATATTAAATTTATTGGGACATTAAATCTTTTTATTTATTCATGAATTAATAAACGAATACAAAATATAAAATACTATAATTATTTTGACCAGAATTTATTTTTATTTTATGGAAGATATCAGATATATACCGTGCTATTTGCTTACAAAATATTTGTTTCACATTTTGTTATAAAAATTATTTTATTAGATTTTGACAATTTGTTTTGCAATACTGAAGACCATTGTTTAGCAATGTGATTATGTTATATACGGTAACGTATATACGGTCTTATAGATCATAAGATTTCAAGTTATAAATGGCTACATACCTCCGCTGTTTAAGCTAGAATGATGTTTGGATAACTCGGTCATAATGAATGAAAGGTAGCTTGTAGGTATTGGTTGCACAATCATGAAAATTAAAACGTTTATGATTTTAAGATTTTGTATGATTTGTGTAGTTATATAAACTTAAGTAAGCAATAAAATTAAATTTTGGTATAACTTTATGTTTTATATTCCGATTCCATTTTCTTTGATTGCAGTATATGTTGAATATTTTTTATTTGTGTTCAGCAGTTTTTACTGTTATCAACAAAAGACAATCCTTAAGCTAGTCTATTGACTTTTATAGTATATATTTATACATAGTTTCTATCATGCAATAATACGATTGTTGTAGAACGAAAAAAAATTTCCGTTTCCAAGACGTTTAACTTTTTATCGAGTCCTTAAATTATTTTGATTTTATACTCTACGTCATACAAGCTGGTTTATTAATGATAAATATTTCTTTTATATTTGAAAATAGTTACGTTTTTAGAGTATTATTGTTTTTCAAGTTTTCCTTACATTGTCTATAAAATGAGAAATATGTGTGAGTGTATCTTTTATAAATTCTTAACAAATGTCAAAATACAAAATAAAGTAAGATAACAGTTTCTGTTAAAAACTGTATAGTTATTGTATAACACATACAATAAATACAGATATTTCCATTACAGTTTTTAATAAAATTTATGTAATTTTTAAAATAAATTAAAATAATCATGGTTGCAATTTTATTTATGTTTTGATTTTTTGAGTGATCGACAGTTTTAAGAATTATACTTTAAGTTTTTTTTTTTAAACCTTGTAAACCATTTTTTTAAAGTCTTACCTACTTAACGTTTTTAAAATTTTTGATGTAAATTCTTAAAAACATATTATAGTTTTACTGAATTATTAAATTTATATTTTTGTAATAATACATTTATTTCATTATAATTTTATCCAATTTTGTCAAATATTTTAATACTTATAGTATTATTTATTTATTTTTTAAGGTTAAAAAATGACCATTGATCGGGCATTGTATACTTGTTGCAAATAATTTTGGTAGAGATTTATTTTGAAGGAATAGCGATTTTGGTGGGTAGATTACTTTAGAGATTCAAGATAAAAATATCTTGTACTTTTAAAGCTCTGACCACATTTCAAAAATAAAAACAAAATATTTGCTATAAAAATATAATGTCTAATTTGATACCTTATAGTCATTTATAATTTCTGTAATTTTTGGCTGAATAAGATTTTCTATGACAGTTTTCTTATTATAAGGTAGCCCAATATAAAACATTATGGTCTCTTTTCATATTATGCAAATAAAAATATATTAGTTGTTCCAATTGGATAATGCAACCATGTGTTTGTAAAATTTTATTTGTCATTATAAAGTATTAAACATGATTTTCATCACACTATTGGTAATTACTAATTATACAATTTATACGTATTAAAATTTGTCATATTTAACATAGTTAATCTGGACTAACATAATGATAATCCCCCCTTTCAATTTTATATAATGTATTATGAAAACTTTTGATTTCAGCAGTAATACAAATAACCATCATTCGCTAAATTTATTTTTATACATTTTTAGTATCAAATAGTTTACTGGGATTTTGAATGAGCCATTGGGTTTTCCCCTTTTAAATAGTGGCCAGGTTGGTGAGGAACTAAGGAAAGTGTTATTATTGCAATGTAATGGAGCGTTGTAGTTTATAATTTAAGATATACTCCGACTTTTACTCTATACTTACTTCTACATTTCGTTCTCCCGTCTTAATAAAACCGTCGGATCAGACTGACAGGTTAACCCCTCTTTTCCTCTCCCATTAGGTAGTAGTTCATCTAATGCTTAAGTGTATAACGTATATGTTCCTTTATAATCTTTTTTAAATTCATTGTTATTATTTTTTTCTCGTCCTCTGTTACTTAACGAAGGAGTTAAAAAATTGAAACATTTCATAGTTAGTCTTCAAAATAAAACACTATTACTTACCATGATGAGTGTTTAATTAATAATACGTTTCTAAAATTTGTTTTAATAACATTTTGCGTTTACCTAGCCAAATATTTTAAAATAGGTAGTTGGTTTGTTTTTAGAAGTTTTTTTTTTTTAAATAATGCTCAGATTTGTTTTATATTCAAGTTTTGAGATTACTTATTATAAATTCTATAATTTGTTTTTACTAAAATTTAAAAAATCGTATCTACTTATGAATTTAAGTTTCAAAATATAAATTAAATTTAAGTATAATGCTGTTCTTATAAATATTATAAATGAAGAATCAAAACATTGATATTACTTCGAATGAAAGCTAATAAAAGTAAATATTTTTTTTTATCATCCGAACAAGTAAAATATTTCCGGATTGTTGAAGACTTTAATTTAAAATCAACTGAAAAAAATTAAAGACCAGGAGAAAAAATCAGATTCAATTGTGTAGTTCTTCTGGATGGAAAATCCTTTTGGTAGCAAACAGTACTATCAATAAAATTAAGTCTTTATGAATATAAAATATTTAAGATACTTGAGCTACAAAATGGTCTCTAGAGCCCGGCGTAATATGTGCCGTGAGTTACATTACTGTGAGCTGATATTTTTAATTTAACAAGATAATTATAATATAATCTTGATATTAATTTAGGTTGTAATGTTTTGATTAAACGGGGTAATAGTTAGGCAAATCTGCTACATCCTAGAATTTATGAATAATGAATTTTCATTTATCTCTATACTTAAGAGAAAATCTGGGAAATTACAATATTAATAATTTGAATAAAATTGTTGGCCATAAAATAAAAGACAATTTTTTTGTGCTTAAATTTTTGAAAGTACCACTTAAAGTTATTTTATACGTTCTTATAATTATTATAATATTAAAATCAGGCACTAATATTATTTTTAACAAAGATGTACAATTTTATTTAAAAATATTTGTATTACCTTTGATTTATTTTTGATTCAAATTTATGTATAAAATTCATAAACAATAATACTCAAGTATATAAGAGCATTTTGTAAAAAAACGTCGGTATTAATCATCAGAATTTACCGAGTTTTTATAGCAAATTGTATTATTA